GGGGGGGGGGGGGGAGCCCCACTCCGGCGGACTGAAGTGTCTTCAGGCCATTCCCAAAGGGGGGACATTTCTCGTTCATGCACAGTAGAATTGTAAATAGGCTGATTCATCATGTCACGCTCATAAATGTGCCTGATCTACAACAGGGAACTGCTGCTTTTTCTTTCCTAATCCTCTTTTGTCATTTTCCTCTACTTCTTTTGTATGTTTGTCACACTCTTGTGACCCGCTATTTCCGGGGTGCCTTGATAGTCGAAGCAGACTTTGTGCTGTTGAAGCTAGAGAGGTGAGCAGAGTAAGTCTGATTCCTCATTTGGACTTCTCTGTTGACATCCACCCCTTGGCGCTCATAATATGAACTTGTGCAGTTGCAAGCACCGTAAAACCTTACTAAAACTAAACTAAAACTTGCTTGTCTTTCCCCGCAGAGTTGGCAAGCCACTTCTGACTGCGGTTCTTGTGGCTCTGATAGCCTCACATGGACTGAAGACGTACATGAGGAATATTGACTGGTGAGTGTTTATCATTAATGGAGGCTCTTGTAGCCCAAGTTGTTCCTGAAGTCTAATTTTACAATACTGTAAAGAAAATATGTCAGTGGGTGATTGGTGGGTGCTCTGGTGTGGTTTGCATCTTCTTTCCTATCAAACATCTATCGTCCTTATCTCTCCTCCTTCTTTTTTGTGTTTGTTACTCCCTTGTAACGCCTCTAATCTTCTGCACTTATATGATCTTATTGTGTTGCAAGTTCCGTAAAACTCTCTCGAAAAAAAGTGTGAAATTTTGTACCCGTTTATTTATTTTTAAAATTTAGTACCTGAACCTGAGAAACATTGATAAACATGAGGCGTTGCTACTGCCAAAATATCTCTTATGTTTGTCTACGTGTGTGTGTGTGTGTGCGCACGCGCGTGTGTGCGTGTGTGTGCGTGCGTGCATGTGTGTATGCAGTTGAGTCTAGGTGTCTGTCGTCTTGTAAAATTATGGACTTTTCCATTGATTAAAACATTTTTATTGACTTTTATTTCAGGGAGTCTGAATATTCGATATTCCGTTCTGGTTTAAAAGTGAACGTGAGAAACGCCAAACTGTTCAACAATGTGGGCCACGCTCTGGAAAAGTACCAGAAATACGAGGAAGCTTTGGACTACTTTGAGAAAGCTGCCAGGTAGTGGTCACTACTTTTGTGGTTCTCTTCTGGGTTTTTTCTTTTGGGGGGGGGGGGGGGGGGGGGGGGGTTTTTTTTTTTTTTGGAGGGGGGGGGGGGTTGAAAATTTCTAAATTGGGGGGGCGAGAACCCCCCGAACCCCCAAAAGGGGAAAATATATAATATTCATTCATAACTGTCCAAGTTGGCCATCTGTTCTCAAGGAAAAAAGTGGTTGTGTTGGATAGTTGATGTCTTGGACAGTGACATTATAATGAAAAAAACAAACTGCAAGGCGTTTGGGGGGGGGGGGGGGAGGGGTCATTTGTACAGGCCTAAAGTAAGGGCTCCGGTTTTGAAATTCCTTATTTGTAGACAAATAATGCAGTAAGCGCATATGGAAATTGAGATACAATTATATTGGCCTGTGAGAGGTTATGAAAGAAAAGAAAAAAGGAGGGGGGGGTGGGAATATAACATGCATGAAATGAAACAATAACCGTTGTAAGCTTTATGCACCCATGAGGTGAAGTGAAAATGTTATGGTTTTAGAATGTGAACCCAGTAAACCTGTATTATGATAATCTCTACTACAGTGTACAGCCTGATGACATTGGTGCTCACATAAACGTGGGACGAACCTACGTGAACCTGAACCGGAGTGCTCCGGCTGAAAAAGCCTACCTGAAAGCTATAGACTTGTTCCCGCCCATAAAAAAAGGTGAGACAACCTGGTATAGTTGGTCTGCTTGGTATGTTATGTCAAAGAGTCTACATAACAAGAGGGGCCACTTCTCTCTTTGAGCCAATTAAAAAAGTGTCCTCAAAATTCGGTGGCGCCCTCTTCGCAAAAGCGCACCCTTTGCGAACAGAGTTACCCTACTTGAGTTTAAAAAATCAAAGTGAAACTAGCAAGTTTTGGAATAAATTGCGGAAGAACGCTTTTTTAAAATGGTTAAGCTGACAAAAAAAACTTTTCCGAAGGAAGTGGTGATTGTTTTCTTCGTTTGATTTGACTTTAGAATGAAAGGCGAGAGGTAATTAAAATAAACAAAACCTAAAACTCCGCACTGAACGAACCCGAACTGCTGATGAACAGAAGTCGATCTGCGCACGCAAGGAGGTGCTATTCCTATTCTTCTTCTGGAAAAGCGAAAGAGAGCTTCAAAACAGACTGCAGCGCCATCTGAAGCAAAGAGCAGACTTCCGGCGGACACTTTTTTGGCTGAGTGGCCCATCTTGTTATGTACTATCTTTGGTTATGTGCAAGGAAAGATTCCGTAAAATTATGGTAGTGATATTATTCTCACTAACTGTAGTGTGAAGTTAGCTTTGTTGAGCAGTTTTAAAATGTGGGTCAAATGGAACGGTGATAAAGAAAACTGTTCTCATTGTTTGAAGCAGACAGTGAATTTATGAATTCTAATAAAAATGCCTTTTGTGTTTTTACTAAAATTATACGAATCTCAAACTGTTCTTCTTGATCAGGACATACTGAGTGCAGTGTTTTATTTAGTAATCCCATGAACATTTAAAGAAACCGCTTAAAGCTCCTCATAGATTTTAATTTAAATATTTTTTAAACAGAATGTTCAAGAACTTCTGAATGTACACTCTTTGTATTATATGAGTTTTTGCCTCTTGTCAGGATTGATTTCTTTGCCGTGAAAGTTTGCTCATGCCAGGAGATGTTTTTGACATAAAACAACATTGTTGTTGTTATTGACATAGCGGTGAATAGATTTTGTAAAAAAAACAACCCAACCTTTATGATAAAAAGCAATAAAAGACTAATTCCCCTCTTCTAGTAGTAGTAGTATAGGGTTTTACGGCGCTCGCAACTGCGTAAGGTCATATGAGCGCTTCCCCTCTTCTTTACAGGACTAATGAATGAAAATGTCAGTCCAAACGCTTATTTTCTGTTTCCGCACCACAGGGAAGTCGTACCAGGCTCGCATCGCACCGAGTCATCTCAACGCCTACCTCAATCTGGCCAACCTGGTCTCCAAAGACCCCGCCAGACTGGACAAAGCCGAGCAGGTGAGACTGACTGTTTATTGGCCGTACTGTGCACACTGCCTACTTCCCCCGTGATAGGGAGGGGGGCACGATTAAGAGTATTGT